ACAGCAACTTGTCTGTTCCCCTTCCCCGATTCCCCAACGCTGTTCCCCTCCTCCAATTCCCCAATAAAATCTTAAAAATAAAAAAAATTAGTGTGAATTTTAAAATGTATTTCTTTTGGTAATTATGTTTAGATATGATACTAAAAGCAAAAGTGGATATCCAAAAGAGTATGCAGCGTATCTGAAAGATGGTGGATCTTACAGCTTTTTGTTAGCTACCCTAATTTTGCTTTTGTCTTGTTCATCAGGCACAGATACCTGTAGCCCTTCAAATAACCACGAGAAAATAACCTGTAAGGTTGGTCGAATAACACGGACCTCCAACAGAAGAAGTGTAAGTGTTCATACTTGGCACAATGTATTTTTAATCTCGTAATAGATTTTTTTTCTTTTTCGATGACCAAATGACTATGGGTAAAATCTTGGCTTGATCAGAATCATTAAGAGCTAATACCTTAACCTACCTAGTTTGGTTTTAACTAATTCTGTTAGAAGAAAAATCCAATAAAACAAAATGCTTTCAGAGTTTGTGTTAATGTGGAAAGTAATCTGTTTGAAAAGCTTTTGAGATTTGTGTGATTTTTATGAATTTTATTGAGGTACAAATTGGAGAAGAGTAGTGTGTAATTAGAGCTAGAAAATGGCATAAATATAATCTTTTTAAAAACTATTTTTTAACACAGGGTTTCAACTGCTTTCAGTATAAGCATAATTTTCATTGAATGCATTTCTTTTTCTTATTATTTTAGATAAAATAGGATTTTTGCCTAAGCATTCATAGTGTATAAACATACAGTATACTGTTACAGTGTTTTTAGCTGATGTTGAATGATAAATCCAGAATTGAAACTTAGATAGTCGTGGTTTTTTTTCTCCAGAGCCCAACTATAGTTAGATGCTACCATGTAGATGTTCATTAAATATTTAGATGAACAAATCAACTATTCTTAAGTTATTTTTTTTCTTCCTTAAAATAATTGGGCAGAGTGCATATGCTTTTGGGTTTATGTTTGATAAATCCAAAATAAGTAGTTACTAGTTCCTCTATTTGAGATTCAGTTGGGTAAAATCCTTCTAATGGTAGTGACTTAAGAGGAAATGGGATCTGAAAATGGTAGAAGCAGCACGGGAAGGGAAATAAATGCGCGAACACACACTAAAACGTAATTGCGTTTATGGTATTCCTGTTTTAAATTTTCTGTATAGCAATTGGTGGGTTTTGCAGAAGAGACTGTTTGCAGCTTACTTAACACAGAAGCTCAGCCTTGTAAGGAGAAGAAAACTAAGAGGAGGCAATCTCAAAGCAAGCGCACAGACAAAGTGCTTCCTAAGAAGAATCAGGTACGTGTGTGCGTGAAGATGTAAATAACAGTAGAAGTGGTGCGTTTCTTTGTTGTGTGGTTAGGAAAACATGGAAACAAAGTTTTTTCTAGTTAATATTGGCCCAAGAATATTACAGTCTTCTTATCATAGACTAGAAAGGGCCATACAGATTATATCTTCAACTCTGTTAATTACCTGAGGGCCATTTTTGCATTTTCTTCATTGTGTTCAGTAGATCCGGCACAGTCAATCTGCACTCAGATGTTAAGTTGATTCTTATCTTTGAGTCTTGTCTAACCTTACCATGTGGGGAATCCTCTAATTTCCTAGACAGGGATGAGGGCACCACTTTCTCCTTGTTTGACCTTGCTTCTTCCAGTGGCGGGATCGCTTCCCCATGTTTACAGAAGAATTGAGAAACTAGCTCTCAGTCTTCCTCAGTGCACCGTGCCTGTCCCAGCTCAGATGACTTCACAGGTTTCTTAATGGATACCAGATCTAGCACCTTGACCCAGTTACTGCCCCGTCTCCCTTCGATGATCTGGACCTTCCTCTGCATACCCACAGCTTGTTAGTACTACCTAAGCCCATCTCACTTTTAATAATACGTTCTCTGACCCAGCCTCCTGTCCATCCAGTACTTTCAATCCCTCACCCATGTGCCTCTGCTGTACTAATGATCTTCTGGCCCTCTGTTTACTCTCAAGCTTTCAGAGACCCCCTAGTTTCCTATGTTTCCTTGTTCATCCTAAGCCACATGAGCTGTTTTCAGCCACTCTTATCAGCAACCTCAGTTCTTCATCTCTTTGATTCCACTTCAGCACTGGAGTGGACTTGAGCAGGTACTTCTACAGATCCATTGCTCCACATATTATCTGACGTGTGGTCTCATTCTCCACCACTTCGCCACTTTACCTTATTCTTCCAAGGTATTTAGTAACTTAGTGACCAAAATCCACTGTACCCTATGAGGTCCTGTGCTCACCATCTCAGCAACATTTCACATCACTCCTTTACAGTCTCTGTTAAAGGTTTGTTTTCTTCGACCCATCCTTAAATGTTTGTATTACCCAGAGTTCTACTCTTTGCCCTTCCAAATTGTGTGTTCTCTAGGTGATTTTATATGCAGCATGGTTGATGACTCCCAACTCCTTCTGACCTATAAACCTATGTTAACTGCCTACTAGACCGCTCTTCTTAAACCATCCTACAAACACCTAAATACGTCAACATTTCCAAGATGAAATTCTTCAATTTCACCCCAACACACACACACACCCAGAACAGTCAGTGAACTTCTTTTCTTCTCCTTAAAACAAAAACTGTTTTAAACATGGCACAAACACCCCCGAGTCAGCAAAGCCAGAAGAAACTGGATATTTTCTGGATCGGTCCCTTTTTTTAAATCATGTACTCTTTTGAAAGATCCCTTTGCTGAAAAAAATACATGTAAGTTCAAAAATATGCATACATTTATTTAATTGCATTAGAAATTGGTTTCCCTCATACCTATACCTACTTCACATAAAATCAATAGTCAGAAAGTTCAAGATGGGTTGAGCATTAAGCCTCGCTCCAACCTGTCCTGGGACCCCACTAAATCAAAATAATTGGTGTAATCGGAAGAATAGGCTTAGAATAGCAATGTGGAGAGGAAGGGAATGAAGAGTATTAAGCACCAGATGACAGCCTTCAATGAATTTCTGGAAGACAGAGCAGATGGGTGCATGTTGACAGATAAAAGAGGTGGAAAGATTTACAGCTCAGAATGTGCTAGGAGGGACTTAGAGAGGCCCTGGGAGCCAGCCTGCTTATGGGAATCCCAGGAGACTGGGCCCAGTACTGGCAGGTACAATGGATGTTGAGAGTGAGAAGTGGTAGTGAAAAACAGATTAGTTGAAGTCCTATATATAGAACTGTTTGCACCAGTTGGCACCCCAGCCCCCTCTCCCACCCTGATGCTCAGAACAGATGTTATCATCTAAGTTAAAGCCTTCATTCTGGTATTTGGAAAGTCCCACAATCTTAACGCTGCTCTTGCCCTAAAGCAAAGCCTACAATTGATGCCCCCGTTCTGCCTGTCCCACACAGAGTTCCTAATGGAATTACCATGAAGGAAAGAGACTGAGCTGGAAAGCAGAGGAACCTCATACCAACTTCCAATCTTAAGAATCAGACAACTGAGTAGAAGCAAGAGCATGAAAGACCTATATTAAAAGGTTGAAAAACGGGGGCCAGCTGAGCGGCCCAGTTGGTTAAGAGTTAGCTTAAGAGCGTGAGCTCGGAGCAACAGGACCACCGGTTTGATTCCCACATGGGCCAGTGACGCTGCGCCCAAACTGAGCTGCTGCTGAACTGCCAACAGGTGGCAGGATAGCTCAGCTGGTAAAAAAAATAAAATAAAAGTTTGAAAAACTGACCCCAGAGAGAAATGTTATTCAGGGAATAGAAGGAAACTATAAAAAAAAAATTCTAATATAGTCAGATTTTTTAAAGTATGTATAAAACTAAGAAGGGGGTGCTATGAAAAAGGAGCAGAGAAAAAATACTTGCAAAACTATAAAATTTAGTATTTGGACTAGAAAATTAAATTTAGGTACGTCTCCTAGACAGTAGAGCAAAACAGAGACAGACTAGTAATAAGAGACATGGAAGACCAATCTAGGAGATTTCATAGGAATCTCAGAACAAGAAAATAGAATGGAAGAAGCTGTCAAAATAAAAGAGGATTTCTCAGAACTGAAGAAAGGAGTCTTCAAGTTAAAAGGGCCCGTTGAATGCCTAGTACAATGAAAAAAGGCCAGGACTTTGACAGGTCCATATGAAACTGAACAATAAAGGTAAGGAGCAGAGTGGACTTGACCTACCAAGAAACAATAATTAGAATGGTATCAAGTTTAACAGCAGTCTGAATGCTGAAAGGTAATGCAACAGGACAGTTAAAGCTTTGAAAGAAATAATTTCAGCCCAATAGTCTACATCCAGCCAAACTTACTTAAGTGTGAAAGAATAAGGATATTCAGACATTTCAAGGGCTCTGCAAGTTTTTCTTGAGCTATTACTGGAGGAGATACTCAAGCAAAATGAGGAAGGAAGCTTGAGAATTCAGGACGCAGTGGATCTAATACAGGAGAGCAATGCAAGGGAAATCTCTGATTGTAGCTGTTCAGCCGGCCCGGAAGATCAGCCAGTTCAAATTTGAGCAAAAGGAAAGGGTGTTCCAGGGAGAAGGTCTCTGGTGGGTAAAACAAAAATCTATGATTAGGAAAATGGGAGGTGTGCCATATAAGAAGAAAAAGAAAGGTAATTATATATCATTTCAAATAAAGTCTGTATGCAGAAGTCTTGGAGCAAACTAGTGAGTGTGATTTCAAGCAATAGTGAGTATAAGGAAAAGTGTGTTTTATTCATAGTGCTAGGAATCATCTACAAGGGGGCGCCAGAGGAAAGGAAACGAGTATGAGCTCTCAGGTTGACAAGAACAGTGAAAAATGCTTCCAGAGTCACAATAATGTCAGTGCTATTTTCAACTAAGGGAACGCTTTTAACAACTTGATTGTTGTGTAAGACGATCTAAATGTAGCTAATAGCAGAAGGTGAAAAGTGGGTAGACGAGATGGAGGCAAGGGAATTAGCACTAAAGGGAGAATGGTTAAGCGTGCAGGCTCTAGAGCCGGATAACCTGGGTTCTAAATCCTGGCCTGACCTCTTTCATGCACTGGCATGGTGGGCAAGATTCCTGATTTCTCTGTTGGTTTTAAAGGGGAGGTCAAATGTTACCTATTTTGTAAGCTTATTGTGACTATTAAATGTATTAATACATGTAAAACGCTTAGAACAATGCCTGGCCATAATAAACACTATGGCCGTTATTATAATTATCATCTTACAAATTAGGGGTTCAAGATATATTTTAAAAGTTGGTGCAAAGAAATAGGAATGTAAATTCAAAGGTAACCAGCAGAAAAAATCAAATTAGCACAGGGAGGAGGAAGGTTTAGTTTTAAGTGAGCAGCAGCCTCATCTTTCGTGGCAGGACTCAGTGGAGATCTATACTGTATTGTGTGATCAAAATGTTCCAAGAGAGTAGATCTGAGGTGTTAACACACACACACACACACACACACACACACACATACACACACACACACACACACACACACACGTGTTAACTGGTAACTGTGAGGTGATGGATGTGTTTCCTGACGATTGTGATAATCATAATGTATATTAAATCATCATGTTTTTACACCTTTAAAAAAGTCATGTTGTAAAACCTAAATACATACAATATTTATTTCTCAATCATACCTCAATAGAACTGGAAAAACTTTGAAATAAATAAAATTGCTAACTTGGAAGTAGCTTCAGAATTCCTAAGAGCAAATTCCTTTATAACCTAGACATGGAGAAAGTTTCCAAAATATGACTCAAAACCCAGAAATAATGAGGTCAAAGATAAGTACATTTCACGCCATGTGACCCAAAGAACATGCAGCATGCATGGGGAAAAAACAGAGACAAAGGACAAACTTGGAAAAAAGTATTTGCAGTTTGTATTAAATGCTAAGGATCAATAACACTGGTATTTAAAGAGCTTCTATCTTGAGTAAAAGTGAACTAGAGAAAAATCTCCAAGATATATTTTTAAAAAGTCACAAAATTGCAACGAAAATGACCCTTAAAAATTTGAGAAAATTGTTTAGACTTGCCCTTCATAATAAGAGAACTGCAACTGTCACATGCATTTAGATGCCATTTCTTACTATGTTAGATTAGGAAAATTCTAAAAGTTTGGCAACATTCTCTCTTGGTAACACTGGGGGTAAACAGGCACGTTCATAGTTTTCTGTTAGTGCAAATCCCTGTGGAGGGCAGTTTGACAATTTTAAGCCAAATTAAATATTCATTTACTTTTTGACCCAACAGTCCCGTTTCTAAGAATCCACTGCAGAGATTTAAGGACAAAAATCAGAAAGGCATATGTACGAAGTTATTTATTGCAGCACTCTTTATAA